TAAGTATTGAAAATGTCCTTTTGAAAATTTATCCTTGAATGTATATACTTGAAAATTTATATTTGCAAAAAAAAAATATGTTAGGGACTAATGTACGCGCGGCCACAAATTCGGCTTTCGTCCGTCTAACTTTATTATTTTCTTTTATATTTTCTTATTTATAATCGTACTTTTATTTTACAATTCACCGCATTTTTAAAGAATTTTTTTAAATCAATCATAGATTTGAAATTTCGAAGTCCTTTAAAAAAAATCAGAGAGAAAAAAACTAAAGTCTCAGCTTTAATATATTTGACCCATAGTTTTTTGAGTGTATTGATTGTTTCGTGTGTCTTGGAGATAGTAATTTTTTAATTATTTTTCACCCATAAATATTTTGTACATGGACGAAATACCGCCGTTGTAACAAAAATCGCAATTATTTCCGAAATATAGGCACATTTCTGAAGTAAATTAATTTTCCTACAAAATGATCAACTTATCTATAGTTTTTCACACACAAATATTTTATTAATATAAACAATCTGGAATTTGTTTGATTAAAATTGCAATCATCTTCGAAATAATTAGTGCTGCATAATTTTGTATGTAGACCTTTTTTGTAGAGAAATCAAAAATTTGCCATCAAGGTAAGTTAAGAAACAATTTTTATTTTTTTTATTTTGAACTTTGATTGACTTGCGCAAGCATAAGATATTGAACGAAAATTTTCATATTTTGCACATATATTGTTAAGAGCATAATGCACCATATTTTTGCTATTAGCAACAAAAAAAGAAATATCGGATTTTCAGCCCGCCCTAATGTACATCCATACGTAGATTTTTGCTTGAGCGACCATGTGCATAGCAGTACCCGTATGTCTTATGTGGCCTCTCGTTTTCATTTCATTAACTTTGCCCATGTTTGCGCGACTTTACCAAAATCTTTGAATCGCTATCCAAGCTCATGTTGTGAGTTGAGTTTAATCTGAAAAGGGCAAACCTTCATGGCACTAATCTCATTTTCCTTTGATTCACAAATCATGCAAACTTAAACGAATTTTTCGTGCAAATAATTTCTATAAAACAGACATAAGTATGAACATGTGTATGCACATGTAGGTAAGTAAAAAAGCTTGGCTTATTTTTTTTTTTTGTTTTTTATAATTCAAAAAGTGTCATTTTAGAAGAAAGAATTTGGAATTGCTTTCGCGCTTAATTAATATCTTAGCTGCGTTAAAATTTCAATCAAAATTTTGGCATACATTTTTGTTCAATAGTGTTTGTTTTGTTTTTGTTGTTCGGCTTAACACTTCTCTGCATTGAAATCGCATGCAAATTCCGAAAATCGGCTCAATCAAAGTGAATGAATGTGGCTTTTCGTAAATGTGTCATGTTCTTATTAGTTGGTTTTGAATGTTGTTGACATTCTGCCGGCAGTTTGCCGTTGTTAATGTTGATGTTGTCACAATGACTGCCAGCACAGCTGGATTTTAAGTTTTGTTATAATCATTCGCATCCTCGTTTGTGGCGCTCTTTTTTTATTGTTATTACCGATTGTGAGGCATATTTACATATATATACTTATGTATGTATACTTGAATCAACGAATAAAATGCAGTATAATAAGATGTATCCTAAGATGACACGATAACTCAAAAGGAGTGCTAGCCCTGCTGGCCCAAATACATTCAGCACCAAAATAAAGGCGTCTGCACATAGTACTTATGTAGATTCATTTCTGACTAAAACAGCTTCGACTATATGGGAAAGATTTCTACATCCAATCAACCCTGGGCAGAGATGAAAGTTGATTACCTTCAGATAGCTCTTCATCCTCAAGCAAAAGTAGGACTTTTATCCTTAACATAGACTTAACATATGCATGAGTGAACTCAGTCAAGTCTGACTGGTGGTGGTTATTGGTAGGCTCTGTTAGATTAGGTTCTACATAAACCAGCTGTCTGCATATATCCAGAAACCGCTAGATGTCACTCTTACACCAAAAAGGCTTTTGTGTTGCCGTTTAAGGCAAGGTCACCATGGCCAACCATCTAATGAAAGCCAAGTACTTAGAAGTTCTAGGAGGGACAACAAATGTCTTCAGTGGTGTCGAAGGACTTCTGAAAGAAACAGGTAACAACTATTGCCGTTTTGATTGATTAAGAAATAATTTCCTCAGATTTCTTGCAGAAGCAAATTGGACTCTGGACACCAACAAAACATTTGGTCAGAAGTTTTCTCCAAATTTCTACTTGGAGAAGGTTTTGTATGATCTCAGGAGTTTCAGATATCCACCAGTTTTCTACTTGAACAAGATTTCCACTACCACAACTAACAATTAGCATTATTTCGAGCACTTCCACCTCTGAATGTTGGGATGCTAACCGAATTACAAACTTACAGATTAGTGATAATCGAAAAGAAACTCAACGTGTTCATCTATGAGAGACTTCAGTGCTGGGAGTTAAAGTTCTTATCCTATTCGGAATCCTTAACTCGCGAAAAATCATGTCGGTGGGGCATTTTCATTTCATTATGGTACCATTAGCTGCTTCGGGCATCTTAGAAATTTAAGTCCGGTGAGCTATGGGGAAGAATAAGAAAGATATGGTATGGTGAGATTTAGCCACTACGCAAGATATAAACTTTTCCTCCGATTTATTGCAGTAAACGTAGTAGTTATTTATATAAAGCTCAGTTTTACACCAAGGGCTGCTGAACGAGTTGACGTCTTCCTACACTAAAACTAATGGGCAGGTCACAATGTGTTACAGAAAACTTTTCACTTAGGCTTGGCCGAAATTACCGTTCCACAAACGCTCAATTCTCTCGTGTGTTATAATTCATGCTATAAAACAATATACAAGCCTTCAGAATCCTGGGGATCGTACTTGGCAGTGACAAATTTGAGCTTAAAGCCCTCTCAAGCATTAACATTACTTATCGAGCTGTTCTCAAGGAAGGCCTCAAAGAGTTGGTGCTTAAGCAAATTAACCCCGCGAAGTCAAATCGGGGGAGGTGACATCCGGATCTGCCATGACCTGGTCGATGATCAATTAATACAGCCGCGTTTCAATCTCGTCTTAAAGTGTCACCCACAGATCTTTGGACTCGTTGTAGGCACGCCACGGTCTTGATGTGGTAACCGTACCTGCCGATTAGTGGACGGAAGTCATTCGCTTTTCGGAAGCTATTTCAATTTTTTCCTTGGCCTGTTTCGCTTACTTGCATCTTTCTTTTAAATGCCCTGGCATTGCCGGTTCTGAGCCACGATCGACTGAATGCGAATTTCGTTTTCTGCTCCCGTCCACAGTTGTGATTGGAGATAAATGCTGATGGACGGGTCTATTATTCCCGCCATCCTGTTTTTGTTCAAAGTTCTCGCAAAACGGGGAAAATGCCCTCTTCTGGCAATGCGACCCGCGTGGAGGGCGCAGAATGGGACTTTATTTCTTGGACGCACCAGGGGGAGCTGGCATAGTTGGGCAAGGATAAAAGCTTTGCATTCGTTTTTGCTTCCTCAGGGATATATGCGCCTTGCTTAGCGGAGGAAGCGCTGCATACTCGGCTTCAACATCAACTTACAACATTAGCAAAACAATAATGGCGGGGCCATTGTGCGACTATGCAAATTAATAGTTTCGGAAAATGTACCATGTCACACAAGCAGACAGCCGAGGCACTCAATCGAAGCTTGCAAGATATCCGCGGCAGCCGTTTGCTGACGGGTGAGGTAGTCCTATTGCTCGCGGGCGATTTTCGGCAGATGCTACGTGTCATCAAGTGTGTCACTGCGGCAGGGAGATAAGGATATACATCAATGCTCCGAAATTGTGTACAAAGGTGGAAATATTGAACCTCACAACCAATATCCAGTGATAGAGTCCGGGCTCTTTGCTCAAGAACTCCTTGAGATCGGTGAGGACCGCATGGCAAACTGCCTGGTGAGGCACATGTCTGTTGATACAGTAATGGCAAATGATGATGCAACAATATATCCTATAGAGTTTCTAAACTCTTAAGAATTGTCAGAGGTGCCGTCCCACAAACTGCAATTAAAGGTTGGGGTGCCAGTCATATTGATTGCAATTTCCATTAAAACTTGCCATCGCGAAAACAATTAAAAAGCCATGGATAAGATAAACACTTAAAGTTGCAGGAATACATCTGGGCATTCCATGTTTCTCGCACGGACAACTACGTTGGCTTCTCACGTGTATCGAGAGCTACAAATATACTTACCCTACATGCCCCAGACAATAACTCCCGAAACGTTGTTTACGAAATGTATAGCAGTAGATGTCATCAATTTGAATTGCTAAACTTTTTTTAATAAAAGTTGTTATATTTATGTAGTGAAATGATTTGTTTCCTTCTTTGTTATATTACATTACATCACGCGGGCGAAGCTGCGGGCAAAAGCTAGTTTAAAATATAAATAAATATCGACCAGCATATTTTCACATAAATGCTACATAAAATGTAGCAGAAAATTTTTCAAATCGTCGTGAGCTAACCAAGTTTATATTCAGCTAAATATCGATTACAAGTGCTTACACATATACAAATGTACATTAGGGTGGTACAAATTTTCACATCAGATTTCCTAAGCCACAACCCCTACGTCGATGTGTGGCCAGACTACCCTATGACGACGTCTTAACCGACTTCAATCGAGACAAAAATTTATATGAGATATCCTCGACTTTAGTAGTATCAGTCTTGGGCATTAAATGAAAAAACATAACTTAAATTTGTTGAGTCCTTAGAGGCATCTGGCTTTTGACCGCTTTGCGACTCGCCTTAATCGTCTCCGATGGGGACCAACATTTATGTGTGATATCTATGACAGTGGTGTTACTGATTGAAAGGGTGATACTGAAAAAAATCGTTCATTTTATTTTTTTAACGACCACCCTAATGTACATATCTAGTTGTTTTTTATGAGTACTAAACCGCCATATACTACGATTTGCGGCCCTGTGATTCCAAACGCAACTTTTTTTCACCTGATGCTTAGTATTCTACACCCGCACATTCACACTTGCTCTTCTGTTTTTGCTTCGTAATGGATGGGGATTTCGCATCTTCGACAACGATAGCACAAGCGCGCTTGCAACGACCTTCACTCGCCAATTTATTCAGTTTTTCATAAATTACATCTATTCGTTCGGATATATAGTTTTTCAGCTGCAGCATTTGACATTTGTTCACCTTGGCATCGAGTATGTCTTGTATTTCGTTCAAAGCTTTCATGAAACTTGCATGCAATCTATCGAATTCGATGTGGCACCGTCCAAGCTCAAGTTCCACTTTATCGATGAGGCCGAAGGCATTAAAATTGTTGTCCAACCGATGTTTTAATGAAAAAATTTCTGACTCAAGTGTGGTTAACTTGTCTTCAATAGCAAAATGTGCCTTAACGATCGGATGACACATGCGTAGCAATATATTCTTGAGAAAGGACGATTGTCGCAAAGCGTCGCAGGCAACTTTTACATCTGGATCGAGTGTGCTACAAAGATCCTCACACAGTTCATAGTGTTCCTCTTCGTCGAAGCGACATGGCTCCAGAGATTCAACTTTGCTCAAATAGCGACGAACGCTCAGCAAATGTTCTTTCAAATTTTCATCTGCCACTTCGAGTCGTTTTTCCAATTCCTCCAAGTTATCGAATCTTTCCATAATTGTATCGAACTTTTGCTCAGTGAAACTAATTGGCGATATTTTGGCTATTTGTAAGAGTTCAGCCATTTGTTTGGCCTCATAGCCACTAATCGATACTTTCTCGTTTTGACAATTCAACTTCTTTAATACAAGATTGAGTAAGCTATGCAATACTATGGTATTCACGTTAGTCAAACATTCGCCACCAAGTGCAATGTTTGCCAATTGTTGCAATGTAAAATGGCCTTCTGGAAGCGGAACCATCCTTGTTTTTGATTTGTGTGTGAATTACTGAAAAAAATATTTACAGCAGAAATGTTTTTGATTATAAAGAAACTTGATTGAAATTTAGATATTCAAAGAGGACAGTGAAAGGGGCTTTTAAAAAGCTCAGTCACCCCAAAAAACCAAACTGCGTCTTAAATTACGTTCAAATTGGCCCCATTTAATTTGTTAAATGAAAAAGAGCTTTTTGTAAAAACACATCGTCCACAATCATGATTCAATAATGAAAGGTTTTGTAAGAAAAACTTTCTCTCGCTCTAATTTTATCAATGACACTCCCACCATACTCCTAAAAACAAAAACAGTGATATTTCTTTTCCAAATATCTTTGCAAGTTTTAAGAACATTTTTAAATTGTTAGTAGTGAAATTTTTACTTTTTAAATTTGAAGAAATGTTTGTTCTTCATTCGCTGGCGCCAACAAGACAAAATGTGTGAGCATCGTTGGACTACAGAAATTCAATGTAGGCTAAAGAGACGAAATTCTCTTAAATGCCGAAATATATTTGTCGATATTCGTGGAGACCTCTTGATTCTGCCAAGTCGCTGTAAAGTAAAGCATGCAATGGTTTTGGTAAATGAGCCAACGAAGGTATTTAGGTATTGTCCTCCACAACACACTCCTGGTGTCTCCGAATGAGGCTTTGATGCAATATAATATTGCCAAACCGCATCCATAGGCCCAATCGTCACACGACAGCTCGGTTTAGTCAATGGCGCGATGTATGTAATTGCACACTTAAAAGGTTTACGCACGAGGCGAATGTTGGCTGGCGGGCGACCAACTTTGTTGAAAGCGATTACTTGAAAGTAGAATGCAAAGTTGAACAATGCAAACGCCTTTTTATGGCGAATATTTTTATATTTTTTTTATATTTTGATATTTTTAATCATTCAAATTTTTTTTTCGGGCAACCCGGCGAATGGTTAATATTCTGACAGTTGTATAGTCTCCCCAGAATATTGAAAGTGCGACATCAAAGAATTCGAATTACCATATTCGAAACAATCGAGCCATATCCGCGAAGGAAACGTAAGCTCCAAATTTTTTTATTTGCCGTTTTTTTTTTGTTTAATAAATACTGCATATTTTCCACAAACAAATAGCTTCTTCATATCCATCATCTGTCAAACAAATACAACAAAAAAAAAGCTGAAAGTGGACCATCCATTCTCGAGTTATGCGCCATCTGACGTACGCGAGTTTGGTATATACATAGAAATATTTATTTTCAATAACAATCGGGCTTGTTTAAATTAAATAATTAAATCAAATTCGTTTTTGTTTTAAAATACCACCATTCACTATTATCCACACCTTTTTATGGAATTTAGCTCCCATTTTAGGAAGTGTGATTGAATTCTTCCCCTTTTTCCCCTGCTTCCATAAACCATCCCTGTGGGTGGGAGTGCCAAATTTTAGAAAAAAGCTACTTACAAAACCTTTAATAATTGAATCATGGTCCACAATCATGATTTAATAATATAATCATGATAGTCGTATATGAAGCCATCAAAAATAAAAATATCAAACCTTTCAGTCATCACCTATTCACGTAGAAACATAAATGAGCGCATACATAATACAAAAAAGAAAACAGATTCTAGAAAACTAAAGAGCAGCACCATTTAGCAGCCCCTGGAAATGGCGCCTAAAGCACAATTCACATTAGAAGAGCTGACTAAAATTGCCTTGGGTGCGCCAGAGTTGACCACTACAAGTGTACATGTTCTGCACAGCCTAATCGATGTGATACTCAAAAAGCTTGGCTGCCAAGATGATACAGTCTCGATTTGCGGCGTAGAATCTGATTGCTTAGCAGAATTGTTAAATAAATCGAAGTCAACACCGATAACCTTTGACGACAAGCAGCTGATCGTAATTGCACCGAAATTGAAAGTTATTGCCAAGCTAGAGAAGTCCGTGGACAAAATAGAGGCCAAGCTCAATGAACACATAAAAGTCGCGAAAAAATTCAGTCATCTGCCACAAATAAAATTCAACATCAAGGACTGGGAACAATTCACAACACAGATGGAAAGTCAATGCATTCCATGTGAAAAGGAAAGAGAGATTACTTGCGCGCTAACTGGCGACATTGACTTTCTCATGAAGCTACAGCGGCGTTTAGCAGAGCCCATGGTTTTGAATCTATTTGAATTTGAGCAGGAGATCGCCGCGCTCAATGATGATATGAATGCGTTGATTGTAAATGCCGCAGCCAATTTGGATAAATTGGCCACGATTGAAGGCTGCCTGCTTGCGGTTGATAAGCTACGTTCGGAAATCGAAAAACATAATAACAGGTTTCTGCATACAATGGCGGAAGTGCAGGACATCTTAGACTCCAAACTAGATAAAGTACAAATCCAGGCACTGAAACAATACGTTATGCTCAGTTTGAACTACGTAGAAAGGCATATAAGAAATATACAAAATAAGGCGGACTGTCCAAAGACACCAGGCATTATCACCAGCGGTGTACGTTGTTTGTCGTGCGCCGATCGTCGAGTCTGCGTTGAGAAAGGTGTACATGTGACAGGTATTTTGCCAGATGCACATGCCTTCAAGCCCACACGCTTGCCGAGAGTATGCAAATGCACGAAAGAGCAGTCTCCTGTGATTTTGAATGCGAATATGGTGTCCAAAGTGATTAGGTTGCGGCATGCTGAAGCCGAATTGTTAACTGCTAATATTGTTTCAATAGCTGATTGTAAGGCTACGTGTCTTGAGAGTTTAGATGTCCTACAAGGCACCGATGGGTTAACATACCGCAAGGGTTAAACGCTGCGAAGATCAATTTTGGGAAGTAAATATTTTTTAAAAGTTGCGTACATATATTTCTTAAACATTTTTCTTATAATACAAACAAATTTTTGATTCTATATTTTTCAAAAATCTTGATCAACTAAAACAAAATTTGTTAATCTGCCTTTGCGTACCGGTTCCGAAGGTTTTCTGATACTGAAAAATATCGAAGTATCCCAAAAAAATTACGAAAAAGTATTCCTATGAGAATCAAAAAAAGGCGGAAAAATATGGTAGGATCTCGAAAAGTCCCGAAAGATCTTGAAAATAGTGCGAAAGCTTTAAAAAATTTAAACCGAATGCGAAATAATTTAATGTTTTATATTCCGAAAAAAATTGATTGGGGAAAATACCGGTTATTTTTGTATTAGAAAATAAAAGACAAATATAATCGGTTAAATAAATTAAATTCCTGCAAAGAGAGTACTGAAAGGTTTGAACTAGGGTGTCCTATTATTCGCCGTTTTCCGAAAACCGCTTCGCCAGTTTCAAATTAGGAAAAACTCAGATAAAACTGTTTTATTTTACATATTTTCTAAACAGTAATAAATAATTACTATAAATTGCAATGTGACATAAAAATAGGTGTAGCCGTAATTTAGAAATCACTAACGAAATTTTTTCCGAAGTATATTACAAGTAAAATTTAAAAAAAAAGTTAAAAATTCACACTTAAAGTTTCGTTTCCAGCTCACAAGGGTAATATTTTTCTTTATTTCTTCTGCCCGAAGACGTACATTGCCTTTGCTGTAAATTTGCTTGAGAGCTCGAGCTGAATTCTGTAACTATGAGTTTCCAAGTGTCCACAAATTAACACCAAGCTATAGAATTAGTAAAAATGGTCCATCTAATTCCATTTCCAATAAAATCAATATTTGAAGCTGCAGTGAAATTCTAGCAATTGCTACGCTAAATTTGTGTCGCCAAAATTCTATAAAAGAAAATCAATGGGCCTAAAAGCCGCTGGAGCTGTAGCCGCTACAACAACAACATAGATGATGCCTGTTATTAGGCGCACCTGCCATTCTCTTGCAGATTTTTGGCAATCAAAATTAGCGACAGCAAACGTTGGAATTCGGTTTCTGGTTTACTTGGTATTCACAAAATCAAGGTTTCAAAATCGTTTAAAACCGAGCCAATCACCCTAGTATCTATGAACGTATGAATGTGCATTAGGGTGCAACCCTCTTCATACAAAAAAAAAATCGATAATGCTTTTCCATGAGAATTATTAAGCTTATTCAGGCTTGTCATGAGTTTAATATTTACTTTTAACTTTTTGTTTCAATGTACTTACTATGGGTGCAAGAAAAATACTCAGGTGAACTTTTTTTCAGGCGAAACCCAGGATAAGACAGATTATATTTTAAGATTTTCACGAAAATATTTCTACAAAATGTTAACATTTGGGTGAGGTTGCCTGATTTGGAAATATCCCGGTCTTTGGCATGATATGGTCGGTAGGCAGCGCCTTTATGTTAAGTGGAAGTCGGCTCAGGATGGCACTGAGTCCGAATGAAATTTCTTCAGAACGCTAAAGCTAGAAATCCGCAGTAAAAAAATTCGGTGGACTAAAGAGGTCATTGCAAAGAATCTTCTTGATTTTGATTGTAACGAGCTAAAAGGACCGCTTTACCGCCGTCAGCTGTAATCCTGAGTAAAGCCACAGGCGGTGGAAGCACTTAAACAAGTTTTCAAAATTTTGAGGTCGAATTCTCATATTTCAGAGCAGTAAGGATGTGGTATTCAGACTTATCATAACTTTAATTTTCCCCGAACCGGTTGACTTTTCACTTTTGGTTTTCATGAATTTCTTTATGGGCGGAATAGAAACTTTCGGGTGAATTTTTTTTTCGGCCGAAACTCAGCATAAGGCATATTTATTCGATACAAATTTGGTTTTTCTGGCAACAATCATTTCAAATTATCAAAAAACTTATCTTCACTCAAAATATTAAAGTTGAAGCGCAGGAAATGGCACAAATCACAACCATTAATTTTGCTTAATATTACATCTGACTTCGAAAATGTTTGCATGTCAAAGCGTTGCCTCTTTCCCAGACAAAATGACCACAACGCATATTGAAGTGACTTTGGAACAAATGCTGCAAATGGCACTGGGAACCCCGAAAATTTCCAGTATTAATCTATCGATTCTGCATAGCCTGTT